AAAAAGAACATCATTACGAATTTTCTCGTACGTATCGCTGGCGTCATTGACGCATGCGCCCCTTCGCTGGTTCTAAATTAACGTAACTTTTTGTCTACGAGCACCTGCCATGCAGTTGACAGGATGATCTCGTCTTTGTTGTTAATGCAATTGTCGTCTTTAAGCGTAGCCATACATATGTACAGGGCCTCTAGCCATCTAAGGTGGTGTGTGTACTTTGTAGTGCGGATTACCTTGGCCTGGCTGAATAACGGTTCTATTTCCGTATCCGAGGCATAGACGGCAAGAGCGGTGTTTTGCCTTGCATGTAGAATATCCGCCATGTGTTCTTTAATTCTCACCTCTAAGGAGCGCTTAGTGGATCCTACGTATATCAGGCTTCTGTTCCATCTATGATCAATCATTGGGATGGTATATACCCCTGGGCGTCGTTCTTTGTTTGGGGTATCTTTCCCGTTCCGTAAAATGTCAAAAATTGTGGCGCATCTTCTATACGCGATGCGAATATTCTTTTTCTTCGCTATTGTGTTGTAAATTGATTTCAGGTACGGATTGTATGTAACCGGGATGATGTTAGATGGAACTTCCTTGGGTGCTTGGTTAAGGGCTACTTCTCGGCAGCGCCATTTGCGGATCAATTTACGTACGATCTTGGGATAACCATGTTCGTTGGCTATTTGTTCAATATGTCTTAGTTCGGCATGTAGGGATATCCGATCCGATGAATGCGAGTATGCCCTCCTAATTAAGGCGTTGAAGGCTGCCATTTTATAGTTCGGTGGATCGCACGATCCTATTGGAATGTATAGATGCTCAGCCCCTGGTTTCCGGTACACTTCTGTACGGGTAGTTGTTTGTTCGAACTTGATGTTGATGTCGAGAAAATGGGCTTCGGAAGCGTGAGCTTGATCGATCTCTAAGGTCAGGCCGTATGGATTATCATTGAACGAATCAACGAACCCTGAAACATCCGGCTCAATCCTCCATAAGATGAGAATATCATCCACATATTACTTACACAGAATATTTAATAAAATATTGAAATAGATTCCTTAGAGGTGAGAATTAAAGAACACATGGCGGATATTCTACATGCAAGGCAAAACACCGCTCTTGCCGTCTATGCCTCGGATACGGAAATAGAACCGTTATTCAGCCAGGCCAAGGTAATCTGCACTACAAAGTACACACACCACCTTAGATGGCTAGAAGCCCTGTACATATGTATGGCTACGCTTAAAGACGACAATTGCATTAACAACAAAGACGAGATCATCCTGTCAACTGCATGGCAGGTGCTCGTAGACAAAAAGTTACGTTAATTTANCACTTGTTCGAAGAAAGTCCATTGTTCGTCTCACGTAACTGCCGAACGGAAAGTCCGTTGTTCGCAGCAAGTCCGTTGCTCGAGTCACGTAACGGTCAAACAGAAAGTCCGTTATTCGAAGCGTACGTTATACGAGGCACCACTGTATTTGAAATTATGCATGGATTATTTTGATATAAAAGAAAACACATCTTCATTCAGTCTGTAATGTTTAGACAAGAACGTTAAATACAGAAGTGAATTTTTATCAAAGTCACAAGATTCTCTATTACAGATGCTGAATGAATGTAAGTTAATTGGCTCTATGAATGATCCAATTAACTTACATTTAATTAGAAATCTTGTAAAGTGCTGCCAAAATGTTTATTTTATAATAACTAAGAAAAGTGAGATGTTGAGAATTTTTACCTCCAACTAATTTAGTGAGATGTTTTATTTGTGTTTATTATTTCACTAATTTTGATAAGTATCAGTTTTTGTTATGAGGAGTGCAGATCTCTAGCCATCAGAAAAAGTTTTGATTCAGTTTTTCTTTTTGTTTTGAATTTCAGTAGATAAATCTATACTAAATTTCTGTGATGTATATCAAATCAAATTCATAAATACTTCAGATTTAGTGGTAAATATTCTTAAAATAGTCAAGAACGATCTAAAGATAATGATTTCATATCTTTAACTACTACTAACGATTGGATCTCGGTAACCATCATTTAATTTAGAACTGCAAAAAACCTTTGTTAGTTATTCAAAATATATTCATTATTTATACTAATTAAGCTTTGTTTAATCCATATAAAATATGGATGAATTCTGAGGATTATTTTGAAAGCTTTTTTTTTTTTTTTAATTTGAAACCTAAAGGATGTAACCGTAAATAAATGATAAACAACAGAAGAATTAACTACATAAAAAATTAAATAATGTTCATTTTAATAATTTCTTGGAGATGAGAGAGAATAATTACCAAGCTGAAGAATCATGATAAATGATGAGCCTCATAATGACACTAATTTTCTCTTATACTTTTATTACTATCTTCACACATCTGTTTTGAATAAGCTTATTTTTATTCTTGGTATTTTCACATGCAGTGAGATTTGCCAATTCTGAATATAGTTGCAAGAATAAATGTTCATTGATTCACAAGATCATATGAGCTTTAATTTTAATATGATAACTGCAAGTTTCAGTACAGCAAAGAATTTTAATTCATAGATTATCTTATACAATAAACTCCCACTTTTACAATCTAATTGAATCTTTGAAACTCTGTTAAGCAAACTTATATTTACCATATAAGGTGCACCAATGAACCTTTCTCACTTGTTTTGAGCAAGAAAACATCAACACTTTTTTTTGTTTTCAAATTTTTATCTTTTATATGAACAAATTAATAGCCTAAATTGTGATAAACATTAAGTTCAATTCATTCTCCTTTCATCTGTACAATTTTCTTTGTCCTTGGAATGAATGCATTATACATGGCACAAATGACATCTGTTGGAATCTCCTCCAAAATTGTTGGGCTGTAAAGTCCTTGATATTACGGGCATTTGTAATGTTGACTTTGGCATGTATCCCAAAATACAGTAGTCTAGAGTTCTCTTAGCAGGCCATTCCTTTTGTGTAATGAATTCCAACACATTTTTCACCAGCTGTGACACAGTATATTTGGCCTTACAGTATGTGATAAAGAA